TATTGAAATAATATAATATATAATATAAATATTCAAGTATCTCGATTAAAACCCTTTCTCTCTCTCCATCTCATAACTCACCCGCGATCCCCTGGGCAGTGATGACAAACTGCCAATCTGATTGTACTTAATCATCAGACTGAGTCGCTCCAAGGACATGGAAGTGCCCTGCTCCTTCGTGGCTGGCTCTGTGAGCTTCTCCGTTTCGCCGGCCTCAACGGCCTCCACTTCCTCCTCGGATTCCTCCGTAGTGTGATCGAATTTGCGCAGCCAAATCAGATGAAGGAGCCCGTAGGCAATGCCACCGACCACAGCCAGTAGACCCATGTAGCGGAAGGCATCTCGAGTGCCGAACTGACCAATAAGGAGTCCTCCAGTAAAACTACCACTGCCTCGTCCTTAAATTGGAGACAAACCAAATGTGATTACATATACGTAAAGTGCCTCATTAGGAGAGTACACAGGAAGAAAGGCAGCTACTTTGGTTTGCTGAAGCTTCAATTGGAGACTTTTTGAGAAGATTTTAAATGTATTCCCAGAGATATTCTCATGCTCTAAACTAAGTATAGTTATAGTTATGATAAAATAGATTTATTAACCATTATTTCGACTGCCTTGTTCCTGTGTAAGGAAGACTCCAACTACACACTTACCCAAACTAAAATGGGCCATGCCCAGGACACCAATCAGGGTGGCCAGCAAACTTTTTGGGGCCAATATCGAGCAGTAGGTCGCCGCTGCCACCCACATAAGATGGCAGGATAACGACTCCATGGCCTCGAAAGGAAAACACCACCAGGCATTCCTTTAGCAGGGGGGACACACAAACAAAAAAAAAAATGGGAAATTCAATTTGGCATTGCATTAGGCCGGACATGTGACCAGCATTATTCGCACTCACTCGATGAAGGAGTAGCCCACCAGGCGGCCGGCATGGGAGAAGAACGCGATGATAATCAAATTAACGTGACCAAAGATCCGTGTGATTTTCTCTGCTCCATAAAGGAAAGGAATACTGCTCACTGTGCCCACGGTAATGGTGATTCCTGGTCAATAAAAGGGGACATAAATGAAAGAAACATTAGGATAAATTACGAACTCGAAACAAAATAATACTTTTTAGATCAAAATCCTTCTTACTCACCCAGTAAATAATTGGGAGCTCCCAGCTCCTTGAGGTACAGAAACAGGAAACTCTCAATGAAGCCCCAGAAATTGCCCAAGACAAACAGGAATATTATAAAGGCAATTACATGTGGCATCTTCAACAAATTCCATAGATCTCTGAACACATTATCCGCTGGCAATTTCTCGCCAAGTGGCATCATCAGCACCGACATTGTGGATATCACCAGCAGGACATCGTATGTATAAAAGGCAGCCGAGTAATCTGTATAGCCCAATCCCCGCGAGGAGTAATCAATCATAATGCCAGTTATCCGGTGAAAATATAGCCATGCCAATGCTGGAGAACAAACGTTCGCGACCAAAATCGCCTCCATACTTCTCAATCATTGTCAGGGCAATGGGATCCATGATGGTGACTCCTGCCGACAGCATTGTAGTGGCCAAAATCTGAAAACAAATGAGAACAGAAAATTGGGAATGAGTGATATTTTGGAAAGGAAGAACCCCTCTTACCTCAGCAGGAAGTAAACCCAGAAAATTATCTCATCGGTCTCCTTGTAATCCGGTGGACATATCTCCGGTGCATTCATGGTAAAGGTGCACCTTTGGATCATACATTTGCCAGCTGTTGAACCCAAATTAGATATATTTGTGCGTCTCACTAGGCCACCACATCTCAGATCGAGTTCATCCAAATCAGTGAGATTGATATTGGCCCTGATCAGGGAGTCTTCACGAATCTCTGCCGGATGTCGGTGACTGTCTCATTGGCATCCTGTTCAATTTCCATCCCCAACTGCTCCGTGGATCAGCGAGATCCGGATGCATTTGCAGCATAAAGTATGTGGCATCATCATTCTCGGAATGCACCCAGCTGCTACTGCTATTGCTGTCTGTCACTGTTTTTTTAATAAAAGAAATATAAAATTAAATACAAAAAAATACTTGAAACTATAATTAAAATATCTAACACACTTTTAAATCCCTTTCAAAGACTTAAGAGTATCTTAATTTATTCCAAACACTTCCTTCTCCATGTAAACAAATGTAACATATTTTTGCTTTTGAAATTTACCCCCGCTGTGTTTTCACTAATCAGACTGGCAGGAAAATTGCTATGTCTCTTTTCCTGCACTTTTCTACACCACACACCCGGGGCGAGCTGAGTCACAGTCTAATTCTGATTCTGATTCTGAGTTGTGTCCTGTTTTGTCCTGAGCCCTGATGTCCTGGGCCGGCCATGCATGACCAATTTCCAATTGTGCCAAGTGTCAAGAGTACAGCCGAGTGTAATGCCATCATGTTTAGTTAGTTATGCACTTTTGTCTGCTGCTTTTTCCTACTGCTGTCGAGTTCCTTTTTCGGGAATTCCCACATTGTGGAAATTTTCTGGCCAGGACATTAGCAAACTTTTCGACTCTTCGGAGCTCTGTGCCAGTAAAGTACGGCAGTGGGAGAAGTTTGGCCAACATCTGATGTACACATGACTTATGATTAGGACATGATTTAGGTTTCGTGTTTGGGATTAGGGGAATGACTATGGCTATGCTTCTGGGACAAATGGAGAAAGTTTAGGTGTACTGGTTAGAAATGTGTTCAAGAATGATTGATTATTAAAGGGAAGTTTGATGGATGAAATATTAATATTAAGGAAATTATGGGGCCTACCTTACAGGTTAATTATAAAATTATTTTGTGATCTAACATTTTACTTAATTTCAAAAGAAATTAATTATGTAATATGTTTTAATACAGAAAATAATTGTTTTGCAAGGATAGCAAGTAATATATTCATAAATTGTTGCAAAATACATGTTACAAAGTCTACATCATTAATATTAATTCATGAAAAATAGAACTTAGTAAAAATCTTCTTTTCTAAGCCCAACTGTTTACTTAAGTTATTATCCCTAAAAAGGCACTCTCTTTTCTAGCTACATGGGAAATATTTTCCTTTTTACTCCCCAGCATATTTTTCCCAACTTGACGCCCACTTTTAATAATGTGGAATAAAAACGCCTTTGTGAAGTTTTTTCTCTGGGAATTGGAAAAAAGTTTCCCCGTAAACTTTGGCTCCACACAAAACGTCAGGCTTTAATGACAACCACCAGCCACCGCACCGCCACGCACTCGCTCAGGTTGAGTTATACTTTAGATATATATATACCTATACATATTTTTTTTAGTTTCATAGAGAGAGTCCTGTCGGTCTTTGGCTTTTATGGTGCAAGTTGTTCTCGGCTTGTGCACCCCATCCCGTTCCTGGGAGCAGCTCACAAAAGACGGGAAAAACAAACTAATAAAAGTAAAACACACAAGGATGGAGGGGAAGAACACAGACATGGACACGGATACGGACATCGACACGGACATGGACACGGTCGAAGGATGTGGACACCTATAAATAGCTGGGGATAGGGGGACAGAAAGGACATGTTGGCAGGGTATTGCAAGTCGTCAACAAGTAAACCGAGTGAAGAACAAAGGCACAAACTAGAAGCAACTTGCAGTGGATGCACTTCAATAAATTATTTTAAGGAGGGATTTTTGACTCACTAAAAAGGTTTTATGAAATTAAATAGAAGAGATTGTTTTGTTGATTGAAAAAGAAAAGAATTTAAGTAGAATTATTTGTATAACCTTTAGGAGGAATACGTTTTTTGTAATTAATTGATGTGATTTTCTAATATTAAAAAAAAATTTATCATTTATGGGTTACAAATGAAGTTAATAATGAGTAAAATCCAAATATTTAATATGTTAATATTTAAATGATAAATTTAATGAATAAACCCAACTTTCTAATTGTATTAATAATAAATAGAAACCCTTATTAAATAGTTATGTTCTTTAAAATTCCCTGGCTTTCAAATGTTCTATCTTCATGCAAGAATTAATATTACTTCCCGAATAAGGTAATAATATATAATAATTATTAAAATCTTATCTCGAATTTAATGGAAATTTAATCAAATATCTAATATTTCTCCAAGTGCATCCAACTATCGACGATAATAACGCCGTCTGTGGTCAGTCAGTTGGCGGTATAAGAGGGTCCCTGCTCGTGGAAGGGTTCATCACGTCACTTACAATTCAATCCCTGCATGGACATGGCGGAGTTCAGCTGACGATGCCATCTCCTGACCCATCCCCGGGGCATCCTTCAGCTGGGACATTGGCGGGAACATGGTCGATGGCATATTAAGTACTTCTTGGTATCTGCTCCTCGTTTGCGTTGCGAATAACGCTGGCAATGATGATGCCGGCGATGAGGTGGTCGATGTGGTCGGCGGTGCCTGCGATGAACTCGACTCGTCGGAGGGTCCCATTGTGGCCACCGCTCCTCCACTGACGGTGGTCGTGCTCGCTGTGGTCGTCGTTAGCTGGGACCTCTGGGTAGGGTCGATGGACGGACATCGTATGCCGGAGTGTTCGTATAGAGTTGAGGATTAACTTGCTCCTGCATCAAACAATAGTCGACGCACTGATGCACGGCCATTCCAGCTCCGGCTCCTCTGGACATTCTCGGCTTGGACATGGAGACCACCAGACCTGCAATACAAATAATAAAAAAAGAAGCAGGAAGGAATAAAAATAAGACAATAGAATGTATTTCAGATTAGGAATGAGGTAAAGGATTTGTGCAAGCAAAAGGCAGGTTCCACAAAGGCTTTGCAGTCTTTACATCGATTGCTTGAGTCAACATGGAGCTTTAGTGATTCGATTTGGTTTCAAATTGGATTATTGAATGCCATAGATTATGTGGGGAAATCAAAGTTGGCCCTGCACTCGGATGTTTTGGAAACATTGGTTGGGTAAGTAGGCTTTGACTCTTCGTTCGCTTAACTTCAAGCCTGATCTCAGATTCTCAACTCATTCTGTTCTCGGTTCTCAGCCAGGTTGCATGGTTGAAGTTCTATCAAAATTTGAGAAGTCAACTCCCAGTTCAGAGAAGGAAGTAGTGAGCCATCGCAATGTCCTCAATGCAGATTCGAAACTGGATTGATCAACTGCGCGATCTGGCCACTTCACCCGCCGCAGTCATTGTGATTTGTGGTGTAATGGCTTATGTGGCTTATACCAAGACCAGACGCCGCCATGTGACCTATGACGATGAGGATTACAAGATTGAAGGACACGAGAATCAACCTATTCCTTTGAAGGGACTAGAACTTACTCGAAAGCAGCTGGCTGAATATGATTGCAATCGGACGATAAGACGTATCTGGTGGCCCTAGACGATGTGATTTATGATGTTTCGAGTGGCGCTAAAGACTTTGGACCTGGATGCAAGCATGCCCTGCTCCCGGGAACCGAAACCTGGATGCAAGCATGCCCTGCTCCGGGAACCGAAATATCCGGTTATGTGATGAAAGAATCGAAACAGAAGGGCCGTGATTATGAAACCGGTTTGAATGAATGGCGTATGATGCTGGAGGATATGTTCTATCCCGCTGGGAAGCTTATCAACGATGCCAACACAACAATGGACCCAATACCCAGGGAAATCGATGAAATCGAAGATTCAGATACAGTTTGCTGGATGACGTTGAAGTGGGAATAGCAGGGGACGATACCAGCTCCGATGGTGACTCAATCGAGGAGGATTCCCCGGTCAAGGATAAAACCGATAAAACCCTTATTCCCGCTCCGTAAATACCTCTCACCAATACGTGCCCATTGCCCATTGAAATCCAGCCAAAAGTGGCACTTAACTCATCATAAGCCTCATATATGAGCTTAAGCCCTTGGCCCATAATAACACAAACATAAATAAATATCTCGCCGATTTTATGTATATCTGCATTAACACCAACAACACTGAGAAACCAACAAGATTGTCGCACTGCTGTCCACATTTTTAAATACTTTTCATACATTTATATCTCCAATTGATGTACTATCACACTTAAATGGAAATATATAATTCAATGGGCAAAATGAAAGGTTCTCAAGTGTTTTTATACAAAATATTAACGAGTTTTAAAGCGTTTCAAATGCTTTCGAGCTGCTTATAATGCATAATTCCATTAATTTCTCTCCGTGATCTGCCTGCGGCTATATGCTCGTGTTTCTGCATATATCCGTTACCAATTTTAATGTGAATTCAATAAGGCTCATCCAAGGGTTGCATGGGAGCTGATTGGGGGGCGGAGTATCGAGCGAATGCCTGCAATAATAAAATGGTAATTTCCGTTTCGACGTCGTCGATACCAAAATAAATTTATGCCAAACGGCAAACAGAAACGGGTCTCTATAATGGCATAAAAAGTAAACCGCAAGCAAACAGGATATGGCCGCTGTACCAGGACGCAGGACATGGCTACATGGTTACATGCTCCAAGAATGGAGACGTCCGGCGAACGTGCGGACTGAACACAAATGTAGCCATAAGATGCGTTTCCAGGCCAGAAGATACATTAACCAAATGGGGTATATTGCAAACCAAAAGGTGTAATTGGAAATTTTAATCATTATTAGAAATAAAAATATATATATTGGGATATATAGATAATGGAAAATTACTACTACTACTACTATATTTTGTGATATATATTTTATATATTATATTGTAAATATATTTTAAGTAGAGAATATATATAAATCCTAAATAAATTCCAAGAAAAATGTAAAGTCTTATATTATGACTAGCCTACCAATGTAAAAAAAATACGGCAGCACTAGGAAGGCAGCTAAATTAATGTTCAAATATTTATACATTACAAAAAATTGTTTCAACTAATTTTATAGAGTATTTTCTATTCGTTTTATGTCTGCCTGCCTTTGCCCTGTTTGCTGCAGCTATTTTAATGGTGTTATTGTATTTTATGGCGACATCATAAATACAAATTCAATATACGCCCGTGCCAAGTGCCGAATGTTGAGTGGAGTGCGGGTGGAGCCTGTAGTGCGTAGTATCTGTGAGATACATTCATGAAATGAAGGCAAAAGCTGAGGGCTTTTTGGCCAAGGGCCAGGCACTACCATCACCATCAGGACGAGGACCAAGACCAGGACCAGGGAGTTCCCCAAAATAGCAGTTCCATTGCGTTTCATTACGACTAACGGCAATGGCTCGAGTGTGAGCACAAGAAAGATTTTAATGTGGGCACGAGTGTGTTGTGCGAGTGTGTGCCACTGTGTGTGGGTGTTTTAGTGCGGCTTAAGTGCTGGCAAAACGACACTAAGATAAATGTACGTGATACACATGCACAGCCACCGAAACACTTACACTCACACTCGCCAGAATTCTTTCAATATGTCGGAAAATAACTTCAAGGATAATGCCAATTTTTATGAAATAAACCAGAAGTATTTCAGTGATTTAATCACAATTTTATATCTGTTTCAACTTAAATCGTAAGTATTTTATTTCACATCAAAAAAAAAAAAATTAAAGTAGAGTCTTGGAAATTTCCAAAAACATAGAGATATTTGTTTATATTTCGGTGATATATTTGTATATTCTTTGTATAATTTATATATAATGCACTTTACGTTTTAGAATATTTTAGAAATCTGTACATTTATTTATGCCTGAATTAAATAATTTTAAAATATGTGTAACATCTTTTTAGTTGTGTCGAATAAATTCATATACCTGGCTTTGTTATTTTTTATATTTATTTATTAACACAGAGCCTTTTTCAATCTCAGTTTTAAATTGAATTTTCTTGAACATGGGACACAAAATTATATTATTTTCAATAACCTACATTTGAATAAGTGCTTGTCTTGTTTTACCTTAACTGGATTTCTTTTTTGTTAGTGCTTGTAAACCTGATGTGCACTCGCATTTAAGTGGATTTTGTTTTCGTACATTTTTTTTTTGCATTTCCGCCCCCAGGTTAGAGGGAAGTTTGTTGTAAAGCTGAAACAGGCGGCCCCCGAATTTTCCTTGGTCGCAGGAAAATCATGCAATGCAGTTGGTTCGGTGAGCTGTTTCTAATGCGTTCCATTCGCTTGCTGGCTGTCAAGAACGCTTCGACTGCTGCTTCTGTCATTTTCTATTTTCCATTTTACCATTTACCATTTACCAATGGAATTTGTTTAGCCTTAGCATCCTGCTCTCAATCGCAAGAGGGCCCTTTGCCAGAGTATCCCTGCCATGCAGATGCTTCACTCGGTCCATAATTCGATTTATGTAAAACTCTTGTAGTCCTTGCAGTCCTTCGACAGCTGCAATTTGCTGGCAATGCTCAAGAGCGGCTTCTGTCCAAATGCCATTGCCAAAAGGTGTGAGACTCGGTGGACTCCATAAAAATGCAATTCCGAAGGGACTGAACTCAGCTCTCGAACACCTTGTACATACAAACGTACTACATATTTATAACCGAAATCTCTTCCTGGCAGCCATAAAGCATGTACTCAAATTTGTTATGCCACATCTGACCGGCTTAAAGGACACGGGACACGGGGCACAGGGCACCCAAAGGACACGCAATAACCCAAGTCAGAGCCAGAGTCGTTTGCATTGATATGATCATAAGCATAAAACGCACACACATGTATATATAGATATCAATAAAAAGAAAATGCTAAGGGAAATCACAGAAATACTGGTACAGCAAATATATCCTTGAGTCTTCGCCAATCCTTCCCCTCTCTCAGATATCGTGACAGTTATTTGCTTTATTTCGATGATTTTACATGACGCAAATTTATGCACAAATGCAGATAGAACCAGAATCAGACCTCAACCGACAGGAGCAAAAAAAAAAAAAAAAAGGAAACCTAAAGGAAGCACTCGCTGGGTGACAAAAACAGATGCACTTGAAAAATTCTTTATCCTTTGGAGGAAATTTGAAATTTAATATTGAAGGATTTGTTTTTGTAGAGAAACTTATGTATATATTTGTTTCCTGTTTATAAGTACCTTTGCATTGTATTCTTATTTTAGTAAGAACCTTGAAATGGAATTAAGCAGTCATTTCCGACTCTATAAATTATATACAATCTTGATCACAATCAAAATTGAATCGATCTAGCCATGTCC